CAAGAAAGACTTTTTCATTCTACAATGCTATAATCCTAGAGAATGAAGTTATTAGCAAGAAAGACTTTTTCATTCTACAATGCTATAATCCTATTATCAGTTATGTCAATATAATAATTTGATTTTTTTTCCATGGTTTCTATTTTTTGGAAGGAAAGAATCAGAACTATTGTATGCCATTTGTTGTCATTTTTCGAAATTCTAACCAAATGAAATGCTTAGTTAGTATAAAAACTCATTCGATTTAATGATTTACTTTTTTTGCAATTCAACATTCACTCTAGATCCTAAAAATTGTGTTCCTCGGTCTCCCGAGCCATCACGTCGCGCCTGAGAGTCTTTATCAGCTTAAACACCTCGTTTATGTGCCTCGAGTCCTTGGACCGGAAAGAGACCTCCTTCAGGTAAACGGCACTCTGATGGGTGACTCTGGGCAGATTAAATATGATACGCACGTAATAGCTCTGGTTCGTGTCTTGCTGGCTTGTGGCAGTTTTCATAGTGGACACGTAGAAAGGGACCATGCAGCCATAGATGGGAATCAGGATGGACTCGTTTTTCTGGTCGACCTGGATCGTCATCATATCTTGGATAAGCATAAGCGGGACCTTATTCACGCTCTTGTATACAATCCAAGTTGTGGCCCGCCCGTTCACGTTGCCCGACTCAACTCCGGTAAGGCGTCGGGCAGTCTCCTTGTTTTTCCGGCGGGCAAGTTTTTCCTGGTGCTGCTTCCGGAGCTCCTCCTTAGACAGCTCACCATTATCGGATCTGAGGGTTGCTTTGGAGGACACGGATTCTTTTTCTTCAGCATTTTTATCAGACTTCGGTTTCTTTCTCAGTGGCTCATCTACATCGTCCTCTTCATTGAAAGAGTACGCGACATCCTTAAACAATTTTGAGCTGGCTGACATGGCAACATCACATCTGTCGTCCGTCACGAGAACCATATCGGCGAGCAGCATCAAGAAATTCTGGGCTTTCGGGCCTTTTTTTTGTCTTTGCCTGTAGATTCTAAAAACCAATCGAAACATTAAGGGCCATCCCTGCTTTCAGCACTTTCTCATTTTCTGCATCAAGACTCAGCCCAGACTCACGAAACTCAAGACTGATGCCTGTCCCGGCAGATTTTGTCAAGTTAGGGAGAAAATCGGGGGCATCAGTTTTCACCACAGAGAGAGCAGCCTCATAGACCACACGGGCTTTTTTCCTTGGCCTCACCGCAAGAATAGCAACCTCATGGGCCTGAAGAAGTACTCTGTACGCCTTGCTCTGCACAACATCCAAGTCGATAAGGTAAGTCCTGGCGATATTCGAGTAGTAGCTATTGTAGCGGGACTCGACCGAGCAGATGATGATGCTGGAAGAATCATAGTAGAGATACTCATCATTGCTCGATGCACTTGTCCGTAGGTCAAAGTTGCCGCCACTCTGAAAGATCGGTGGATAACATATATCCACATTTTCAGCTTTCAGTTGCAGGCCGATCTTTGCAGGGTCCAGTAAGGCCTTCTCCGTGTCATTTGTAAGTGAGGCATGCGTCACTTTTTTCTCCTCGTCGATCGCCTTCTTGACTTTTAGGACCACAAAATTCTTCACGGTGCAGGCGGTTATATACGCAGCCTTCTTTATGTAGGCGATTTCATTTTTATCCTTCACGGAAAAAAGATCGAAAAAGCCCACTTGTTATATCAGTCAGTACAAAACCTGTTTTTTTCAATTTTTCGAACCAAGTCTTGAGGAGTTTCCCTTCTGGAGATTCTCGGGCTATGCATCCAACTGTAGGAACATTTTGGTCACTCGACTTGAATTCTGAACGGATTGCGTGGAGAATCGAATCCATCTGATTGATCCCATTTTCGTTTTTCGCCTTCACATGCATGACAACATCCAAAAATAATGATTCCTTAGCGGGTTCTTTAATGGCCTCTAGCAAAGACGCTTTCTTTTGGCTGCACAGAAAATGGATTTGCTTGCTCCCAAAAACCATGATTGTCTCGGGGAACACATAATCGAGCAGTCATATGTTGAGGGAAGAGGATTTCAAGTAGCATAAATCTTCGAAATGAGGCAATGTGGCCACAACAAGGTAAATTGACGAACCTCATAGCACGTTTTTGTGTTGGCGCCAGTTTGCATAGAGAGCATGCAGCCTCTTGGTGAAGGTATTCAAGTCAATGGTATACGCACTGCGATTTGAGTTGCATTTTTCAGCCATTGCACATGTTATGGGTTGTTTAATCGACTCATTAGTTATATGAACAGGCGAAATAGAGAATGAAAATAGAATCAGCAACATAGTTATTACTCGTTCTGCATAATAAATGTAAGATATAAACTCAGTTAACAAATTGCAATCAACAGAATATTTTCCTCACATATCATTGTCCCATTGCCTTATGTTTCAGATCAAACAAATAGACCTTCCTTAGATATGCCAAAAACAATTTCAAGGCATCATCGACATATAAAAAAGGTATTTAAAGGGATTCTGTAGTTAACTTCTTCAAATTCAACGTTCAGTAAAAATTAGGGTTCCATCAACTTAAACCAATAGCTACATAACCAAGAAAGCAATAACAGAGACTACAAAAATTCCCAAAAAAAAAAAAAATAACGAAATTTAAAATTCAGTGTATCAATCAAATATTCCTTCATTACCTTAGACATAAAAAGATTCTAATCGAAGACATTCAGTAAAAATTAGGGTCCCATCACCAATGGCTAATCATAAAAGCAAAACACAGAATACAAAAATTCGAAAAAAAACAAAGCCAAACGAAACGAAGACGAAATTAAGATTCAGGGTATCAATAAAAATAAAATCTTCATTCATTACCTTGGACAAAAAGGTTCTAATCGAAGAAGGTATCGGCAAGAAACTGACAATCAATTGAATCAGAAATCCTCCTCGGTGCTAAATATGGCTTTATGAAATCCACCGACCTCAGCTTCTTGGTAGCGCAAACTGAAAATTAGGGTTAGGGTTGCTCAAGAGAAGAAAAAAAAAAGAGAGAAAAGAAATATAAAAAAACCGACGATGGAGATCAAGCGGCAGAATCTCTGACTAACGGCGTGGTATCTGTGAAGTGAAAAGCGAAGGAAAAAAGACGCGATAGTATAGTAGTTTGTATTTGGGTCATCAAAAAACTCTTATAAACGAGAAACACTTTAATAATTTTTATTTATTTATTTATTGTTCATATTTTAATTAGTTCATATTTTAATAAAATATAATACTTATTAAAAATAAAATTAAAAAAATGCACTTTTTTAAATAATTTAAAATATTATTTTATTTTTGAATATCATATATATTATATAATTATTCATAAATTGAATTATAATATAAAAATAAAGTATATTCGACCACATATGCTTATAGAGATTTATGTAATGGTATATTCCTATAATTTAATATGTATATGAATGCATGATTCGCTATTTTATTATATAATATACACGCGTGTAACTATACAAAAATACATTTATCAAAATATAATATACCTTTTTAAGAAATAAAATAATTTTGTTATTATCAGATAAAAAAACAGCAATAAATATTAAATTTTTCTATAAAGTAGTGATAAATGATAATATAGAATGATAGTGTCATTCCATTCAGGATTTATTCCTTAGTATAGTTGTATACTAAACACATCATTGGACAAATTGTTTCATATATCTCTCATATTTCATTCTTCAGCTTGTTACATTTTTATCAAATTTCATTCCATTATGCCAATCACGTGTAATTGTGGTGATTGAAAACAAAATAATTTGATTAGTCATAACAAATTAAAACCATTTATGACCATATCCAAACGCGCCCTTAGGACTTGATTGGATAAAAATTTGATTGAATTTGTTAAATGAAGTGATAATATTTTTTTTTAAAAAAAAAAGCTGATTGTGTCTTATTTGAGTGAGATTTTGAGTTTATATTAACATATTATCTAAAAATATAATGATTAAACTATTTGATATAAAAATAGGAAAAAAAAAAAAAAAGATTCAAAGTGATGAATAATTGAACTTATGTGAGTTGATGCATAATGAATTAAAATTTATGTGTGACAATAATTGATTGATAATATTTAATTATATTGATAATATTAAAAAGGATTGAATTGATTTAAATTTAAGTTAGATTTTGAGTTAAAAAGAAAAATATTATGTGATCAGTTATATTCTATATCCAGGCCCTAATAAAATTATCTCATTACAAAACTAATGGCTCATAAAAGGGCATACATGTATAGCAAGTTAGAATCAATAACAAAAATTAACAAAAATCCTACAAAAATTACCAAAAGAAACATGAATTTTGGAGAACAAATCCATCAATGTACAGTATCCTCCCTATATATAATTTCAGAATGCGCTGAGCCTACGTGGCTGCTTCTGGTGCTTCGGAATCCTATTTGGCGAAGAATCATGCTTCGTAATTAGGCTTGGATGAATAATATTGATATATAAATAATTAATCATCTAGGTTCGGGTATTCCATAAATATTATTTAGCTAACTTAGGTATTTTAATATCACTTTTACTAATATAACCCTTTAATTTTTTGTAATTTTATATAGTGAGGCAATAAGTGACTAATATATCCCTGAATTTTGATTTGTTTCCTTCAATAAGCTATTGAATTATAAATATATTTTAAAAGTTGATAACTTTTGTATTTCTTATCGGTTTTACATATATAATATATCAAATTAATCATCTTTTGATGATCTTCGATTTGACATCCATATTGTATATATGAAATAAATAAATTATATTTATCTTTATAATAATAAAAAATAATAATATTTATTAAAATTCATTAGAAAAATAAAATTATTTCTCAATTGATATATTTATATGTAATGTAGTTATATATTGTAAGTTAAAAAAAATTAGTATAATATAACATAAGTAAGTCGCACAAATAAAAAGTGTCACAATAAATATATAATAATATATATATTCTTATAAAAGGTATTTAAATTTTCAAACTACTTTTTTCTTATTAATTTTAGATTTTAAGAAAAAAAATTAGCAAGCACCCGTGTATTACACGGGTGTTGTACTAGTTTGATAATATAACTCAGAACATACACTGTATACATAGTAAACTCACTCGAATAATCGACCAAAAAAAAAAAAAAAAACTACGTATTTGTACAAGATATATATATATATACAACCAAACTCTTCCGAAAACCAATGACTTTTCTTCTTCTTTCATGTCCCAAAAAAGTGCACATTTGTACACAATCAGCACCAATCACTACACAATGCATAGTGCCATATCAAAGAAAAAGCATGTAACTCAACTTGGAAGCTCAAAAACTCGATCTATTTTTCCTTAATGTCTCAGAAATCTGTGCATGAGAAGTTCACGAAAGCCCGAGGCATTGGACTTTGTACCCAAGCCTGGGAAGTTAGGGGAAAAAAACCATTCTTTCGTGACAAACAATCCAAAATTGTAGTCTTGTAAGACTGTGGATTAGTTGAAAAAGTATGGAGATTCAAGAACTTGGTTGAGATCAAAGTCTCCTCTATCTGGCAGAGGTGGAAATGTGAGTGTTGGATATGATGTCTCGAAGCTCTCGAGCAGCTGGATGAAAAGTAACATCGTAAAAATATAGATATTCAAAGAAAAAATAAATAAATAAAATGATCTCGTGAATATAGATAGAAAGAAGCAATCTCCCTCCATCCCGAAATGTTTTAGCCTGAAAATCTTATAGGTGTTGTTTCAAGATTTCAATATACAATCGCCCGAAATCTTTGGAATTCATCCATTTGTATTGTTTTAGCCCGAAAATCTTATAGGTGTTGTTTCAAGATTTCAATATACAATCGCCCGAAATCTTTGGAATTCATCCATATGCAATACAAACCTCAGAAATATGTCATTAATTTTATAGATTATTTTTAATTTTTTTTTTTTTTTTCTGAAAGGTCAACTATCTTGGGACAGGCGAAGTACTTAACAGAAAAAGAAGGCAAAACTGCATTCTTAGTGCTGTTGATTAACGCCATATCAATTTCAGTCCCTAGATTCCAACTTTTCGCATTTTGGTACGTGATTTAATATTTTGTTCAAGAAAATTTAAACTTACTGAAATTGAAACAAAATTTTAAATTCAGAACTTAAATTGCTAATAGAAATATGGGAATTCAAAAATTTGTTGCAATTTCAATCCTTTGAAAAAAATCAATGGTAGAACATTAAGACTAAAATTGCTATGGCGTGAAACTAGCAGGATTAAAAATGCTATTTTGCCAAAAAAGAATCCCGGTATACAAAATGAACTAAAATAAATAATATGATATACAAAAATACAGGGAAACAACTCAGTGTCCGATCATTTAGTTCAACACACACAAAAAAAAGGGCCACTTGAGGTGATTTAGGGCTTACATTTTCAAGTATCCGCATATTATATAGATCCCCGAACTTTTGTCTCAGAATCTTACTCATTCTATCAACATCGCATGCATGTGTCCAAAACGAGTCGTGCACACCTGCATCACATTCCAAAGAGTACATTTAACATTTACAGCAAATGTCACTTCACTTGTGAAAGTCTTCTTATAATTGTTCGTTTCGTTCTAAACACATGAATATGATGAACCATTGGCTTATAGTGGAATGAGAGAGAAACCTGCAAAACGAAATCAAGCATCTCGACATGCAATGGCAGTCATCATCATGTGTGAGCCGTCAAGTGAGTGCACAGAGTTGGGAGGAAATGCAATTCTCTGCTTTGTTACCTCAACCTAGGATCAATTTTCCCCATATGATTTTTTTTCCATTTTAATTGTGATTAGCAATTTATAATAATATGGAGGGAAGAGTTTGATCCAAACATACCGAATTACACCCTCGCGTTTTAAAGTTAAAATCTGGAGATAGGTTCGTACCTGCATTCAAACAGGGTATAGTAAGTAGTAATTCCATTCCAAGATGATCACAGAGTATTTAGTTTTCTTTATCTAATTTTGCTTTTGCTTCGTAAATAAAATTTCTCTATATCAATCCCCAATTGTTTGTTTATCTGCTTTCAAATTAATACAAAAATTATCACATTTTATCTGCTTTCAAATGAAAAAGTTCTCATTTCTAAGAGTTCAACATATAACATGAGCTTGAGCACTGGCTATGTTTTTTTCTTTTATTATTTTGTTTTTTTTTTTTTTTTTTTT